GTTAACTGTACACTGCAGAGAAGTCCCTTAAACCTCCCTGGCGGTAATCCCGAGTGTGGCTTGGGGTAAATGTTAACTGTCAGAAGCGGTAACCCCAAGCCACACTCGGGATTACACTGCAGAGAAGTCCCTTAACAAAATTACTGACATAATTAGACCACCAAGGAGGTTAACCATCAATTTGTTCTGACTCATTGAGACACTATGTACAACAGAGCAAAACACTGCGCCGTTCTGAACCATCTCTAAGTTTTTGTTTGAGCCCATTGATGCAGCCAGCCACGTTATCAGTCCATCTCTTCCAGGGTCTTCCTTTTTTCACTGATCCTCTGCTATTCGAAGCATGATGTCCTTTTCCAGAACTGGTCTCTCCTGATCGCATTTCTAAAGTGTATGAGATAAAATCTTTGCTTCTAAGGAGCATTCTGGTTGTCCTTCTTTCAAGATAGATTTGTTTGTTCTTCTGGAAATCCATACTTCCTGTATATTTTTCCAACACCATAATTCAATAACATCATTAAACATTTTTATTCTCTTAATAATAATTTATAAATTATCAAAGGTTCATGAGGGAGGGTGGGGGAAGGGAGAATGAGCTGATACCAAGGGCTCAAGTAGAAAGAAAAAATTTTTAAATGATGATGGCAACAAATGTACACATGTGCTTGACACAATGTATGTATGGATTGTGATAAGAGCTGTATGAGCCCCCAATAAAATGATTTTTTTTTAAATCTTATTCACTACCCAGTTTTTTCACATGTATACAAGGCAATTGGAAATAGCTTGGTTTGAGCGACACACACATCAGTCCACAGAGCGATGTATTTGAGCTTTAACACTTTAAAGGAGTTTGTGCAGTAGAGTTGCCCAATGTAATCATTTGGTTTCATGGTTCCTGCTTCCTTGAGCATTAAATGAAGATCCAAGTACTATGTTGTCTATTGTTTTGAGGATTTTTCTTTCTTCTTTACATTGAGTTGTAGTCCATACTGAAGTCCATGATTTTCATCAGCAAGAACTTGAAGTCCTCCTTGCTTTCAGTAGCCATGGCTGTGTCATCTGCATATTGTTATTAATAACCTTTCCTTCAGTCTTGGTGCTGTGGCCTTCATGTTGTTTTTATTAAGTGCCATTGAGTCAGCTCTGACCTACAGCGACCCTATGCACAACAGAACGAAGCACCATACTGCCTGCACCATGCTCAGAATTGTTCCTATGCCTGTGCCTTTGATGTAGTCACTGTCAGCCCATCTCATCAAGGGCCTTCCTCTTTTTTGCCATCCCCCCACTTTACCAGACACGGTGTCTTTGAGGGAATGGTCTCTCTTGGCAATATGTCCAAAGTATGTAAGATGGAAGTCTTGCCATATTTGACTCTAAGGAACCCTCTGGCATTACATCTTCTGATACAGAGCTATTTGTCCTTTTAGCAGACCATGGTACTTTCAATATTCTTCTCCAGCACCACAATTCAAATACATCTATTCTTCTACAGTCTTCCTTATCCAGTGTCCAACTTTCACATGCATATGATACAATGGAGAATGCCGTGGCTTGGGTAAGGTGTACTTCAGTCCTCAAAGTAATACCCTTGCCTTTCAGTATTCTAAAGAGGTCTTGTGCAACCAGCCTGTGCAATCCTGGGATGTCATTGGGACTGGGTAACGGGCATCAGAAGATCCCAAACAAACAAATTGTTGAGAATGAGGTGGGAGGCGGGGGTTGGAGCAGAGACCTAACGCCCATCTGTAGACAGTGGAACATCCCCTCACAGAAGGGTCACAAGGAAGGGATGAATCAACCAGGGTGTAGTAAAGCACCAGTGAAACACACAATATTCCTCTGGTTCTGTGAGGAGCAGAAGGATTTCTCTTAAGTTGTCTCCCCAAAATATGTACCAGACTTAGCTGCTTAAGAATGACTGTACAATAGGTGATCAGCGAAAGTAGGTCAGAGGTTATTCTCCTTAACATCAGCCATCTATAGTGGCTAGACTATTAGTCTGACT